ATATCTTTCCCTCCATTTGCGACCCCAACAGAGCAGCAGTTAGGCACCTTTCGCGCTGCCGGCAGATCGCGCAAGACCCCCTGTTCCGCGGGTTACCGACCTCCAAAAACCCCAGGGGGGGGTGGGTTTTTTCGACTTGTGATTTTTGGCAATGCCGGCGCTTCGCGAGTCCGCCTAACTGCTGCTAATGGCCTATCCTCTCATACCTTGACTTCCTTATGTTTTCAATCCATGTTGTACACTGATTTTCTGAACTTGCTCGTAAAGTTATCAGCTGTTTTTGGTTGTCTCCCAGAGGAACAAAAATACTAAAGCAGTTCTGAAACATAAAATCAATTGATCAATCAATCATGAGTCATGTCAAGACCACTCTGCAGATTACTCCATATCATGCTAYGGTAGTCCTGTGGTAAGTGAAGCAAGGGGACTGAGATGTACTACACAGGGACCCCATGAGTTAAGCTGCCTGAAGCAGGTTGTGATGACAAGTTTGAAAAAAAAGCACTTGACAATTTGATAGAGTAATTATGACTAGGTTTGCACAGAGTAATTTACAGCCAGGCCCTTCCTTGACAGAATTAAAATTTACATTGCTTAGTTTATTTAATTGGCTTAGCTTTAATTGCTCCAAAATTTATGAACTATTGTAATTAGTATCTGTATGTTTCTACAAGACTGGAATCCCAGACCCAAAAGATACATCAAGACAGAGCATGGTAAGACTGGAATGTAACCATGCTCATTATCATGGCTGTTACTTTCCTTACTGATAATAATCTCTCATATATCTCTGATATCTCTAATATATATTAGAGATATCAGATATATATTCTAATTTTTGTTAGAGTGAGTATAAAAAAAAAACAGTTTTGAAAAAATAAATAATTATTTTATTTAAAATGTTATATATTATTAATAAATAGTATTTATAAATTTATAAATTAATATTTTTCTTATGTCCTGCCTTATGAGGAGCTTAGGAGATGCCCAATTTAAATAAATTTTGAAACAAATTTTGGTTGAAATTTGAAATATTCTTTAACTTACATTAATGTCAGACTCCAAGTTATTAAGTTTCATTTATGTAATTATTTTCGATGCTGCTTGACTATAAGAAGCCTACTTTAGCTAATTCCACAAAGTCTGCACACAATTCAAGAGCAAAGCTTTTAAGATTGTCAAAGTTAATGCAAGCTTTTAAACATCGTTGGCTCAACTTCTTATCCTAAATGATCTTTCAAGCATACAACAGGCAAATTAGCATTTATATTTTGATTTTTCTTGAAACAGGGTAGTCTGGTTGCCATAGCAACACAATGTATATTCTTTTTATAAATTTGTCTGACTGTATGTATATAACCAATATATATAATTGTATATGTTGTCTAGAAATACTCAAATTATGTGAAAATTTTTTGAAAGGTGTTTTAAACACGATTAAATAACAATTTTATTGGACAGGGTATATACACCGTTGCCATTCTGATAATTTCCAGTGGGCCCTCAATATACTAAAGATATACAATATACAATATAAAAATATACAAATACAACATGAAATATTATATACTAAGAATTAGGTTAAATGTAGGGAACCAATAACACATTCCCGTTTTAAACACGAGACCAATAACACAATTCCCATTAAGTAGATCTCAGAATGTTTATTTTTTAGGTTCTAATTTACTGAACCAATGTTTTTATTTACTTCATTAATTTATGTACCCTTAAATTGCTATCAAACAATTGAAATAGATAATATCAGGGGCATGGCGAGGGCATTTTGGCAAGTAGGCACGTGACAGGTCAGGAGCAAGCACTTATGTATTCGAGACAACTGTTTGGGCATGCTTGTAATGAACAAGGTATTCAAGTCAAAAAGAAACATTCAGGTTGCCCCTAACAACATTGCTTCAGTAGTTTTCATGACAAAACATAAGTAGTTAATATTTTAGAGGAGTTTTTCAGTACATTATTAACCATTTAAATGTTATAATTGTCATCATCACTATGGCAACCATCCATCATCCTATCATCACCACTTTCCATCATTATGATCCCTATCATTATCATCATGAACACCCATCATCATAATCACTATCCATCATCATCATAACCGCTGTCCATTTCAATCACTGTCCATGGTCATCACCATCTATCCATCCTCATAATCATTGATCCACCACCATCATCAAAATCATCATCACCATCATCATCATCGCCAACACCACCATCACCACCATCCACCACCACCATCCATCACCACCATCCATCCATCACTACCATCCACCACATCCATCCATTACCACCATCCATCACCACCATCCAATACCACCATCCATCACCACCATCCATCCATCACTACCATCCATCACCACCATCCATCACCACCATCCATCCATCACATCCATCCACCACCACCATCCATCACCACCATCCATCATCATCATCCATCACCACCACCATCCATCACCACCATCCATCACCAATTTCCCACTAATATGTTTTGGTACCTTTTTCCCCTCGAAAATAAGCAACTTTTAATGTCATTACCAAGTAGTTTGACAGATAAATTCTGACATGTACTATTATATAACCTCTATTTAGATATCAATTTTATCTTTTCTTCAAAAGTCGTTTGTCAAAAATTTAGTTGCATTTTTCCCTTCAAAAACGTAAAACTTGAATGTAATTTTTAAGTAATTTGACATGTGAAAACCGATATTTTCCGCTGGGCAAAAAATCTCGTTCAATGTCACTGTAACTGAGACTTATAATCTTAAGCCTATCGTTCACCCAAACACGGGTAAGATTATAATCTGTGTACTTCTTTTTTCCTTAACTTAGGATCAATTAAAGGCGAATTTCATTGTTTTACATTTTACTCAAGATATATGAAGCACTTATAATGCATATCCCTCGAATGATAAATTATTAAAAGGAAAAAATATGAATTTACGAAAAAATACGATCAAAAAAAAAAAAATTTTGTACCTGACCTCCCTTAAGAAGTAAAACTTGAGATGGTTTTCGTTTTTACAAAATAATGCATTTTTAGAGTGGTAGATTTGGAGCTATTTTCGAACAAATTATTTTTGTATTCGTATGCTGAACGACTTGTTTTTGAAAACCAGAGTAGATAAAATATTTAATCTTTTCAAAATATCGTTACTTGTCTTCTTTGTTATGTATTTATATTCCTGTCAATTTTCTCAGCAGAACATGGATGATTCTGTTACCCCGAAGAGTTAGACTTGCATTAGGGTTGCTGGGTCTAAGCGAAACTAAAAATATATAAATCAAAAAGCGAAAACAAAAAACAGGAGTTGCTAAAGATCATAAATATTTGATTCCTTATCAGAGTTTGCTCCGCTCGCGATAATGACAATTTAAAAACGCCAATTTTCTTGACAGAATGTATTTGAATACTAGTCTGTTTGTTTTGGAGCAGAGTTTTATATTCCTCTTAAATTCATGCTTCTCAGACTGATAGAAAATCAAGCCAGAGCGAAGACCTCTTTCCCGACAGATTATCTTTTTATTTTAACCATTAATAAATTTCTCCAATTCTTTAGAATAAAAATAAAAATAAACCTTATAATTCCAATGTAAACCTTGGATTTATTTTTAGCATTTCTTTAAAAATAAAAAAGGCTGTCGAGAAGTCAGTACAATTGCTTAGTCAAACTGTGAAAACGATTTCCAGGAGTTTTTAGAGCAATTTTAAGGTCGATAACATTTATAGCAAAAAGACTCTGCAGAAATTATCATTTTCTTTTTCTATTCATAAAAACTCATCCAGCTGGTCTCGTCATTTTATATTATTTAACACGCAAGCCCAAAATCATTCGCTTCAAATCTTTAATTCAGCTAAAGAATTATCCCAAAAATTGCTGATTTGCAAAAATTTAGGCCTTCAAGTTTTTACTTTTCAAGAGACAAAAATATTCCTATTTCCTTGTGTGGATATAGGGAAACGTTACAATAGATTCGAGATAAAACAATGGCCTTCAGAAAAGGTAGCGTTCAGGACAGCATACGCATGTTTAAATTTTATATCAAGGTTAATTTTTTTCCCTGTATAATTATTTTCATACGAGTAAATGAACGACTTGTACAGGTTTTTCATCCATATCAGATCAAGTACTTGGAAGATATATAAACTGATCACTTATGAATATTCAAAAAACTGCCTTCGTTATGAAATTATTGTAACTATACTTCTCAAATGAGCATTGGAAATTTATGCGTTCAAAACACACATCGATTTAAATTGCCACGGGTGGGGTATATTGATAGCACAGTCGTATACTTCTAATGTATATAGAACTGAAATGGCTTCGAATGCGCCAAATGGGATTCTGATAAAATATTGCAGTATCGCCGGGTACCGGAAAATATCCCCAAGAATTAATAATCATACATTTTATTAATAAATGATTTTGAAGTGCGTTTTCATATGAGCCATGTAACGCGGATGATCGAGGCGAAAATAAATGTTTGACGAATTAGAAAAAGTTTTCTTTCTCCTGATATCAAGGCTTAATTCATATTACATGCAGTACAGCGAGAAATAGTGTTATAAGAGCATGTCTTTATTTATATAACCTTACCTGGTTTTCCATGTCTTTAACATTCGCGAGGCATGTATGTTCACATGTCGAATGCTCGAGCAAAACTACTCCCGCTACTTTAGTCGACTCCTCGCTTTCGAAGAAAAATAGAAAGTTTTGGTAGAGGGCTGCAAATTTCAGTTGCCATTTTCCAGTATCGTTAGCCTTTAAATATAGTTGGCCTTTTAATGTAAAGTACTGTCGAGCGAGGAACCCTAGGTACTGAATTTGTTCTTCAGCTATTCGAGATGAAGAGCGCATTTCTTTTCTTTCAAGTTTGGGTTTTAAATATTCAAATGTTCTTCACTCGCTACCCGTTTCAGACTTCAATGATATGAGAGCTGTCTTGGATTTGTAATGTGTTCACTTCGCAACCAAAATAACAATCGTAGTCAACTGATGCATTCTGACTCAAGGCGACACGTCCTCTCTTCACTGCAGACTCTCCTTCTTGAATGGTTCTTGAAGCGATTCTTTCTCAAAAGCGAATTTAGGAGTTCATAAAGCGACGGCTTTTTTCCATGAATGTTTTCAAACCATGCTGCGTTTGGCCGCCTTAACTTCCTTGATCAAGTTTGCTATTGCGCGCCGTTTGCACCTGGAGAACGACTGACAATCCACCGCCCTAGAGGGGTCCTGACCGTCTTCAACCTGTTTTATATTCCAAATCCAACCAGTCTGGGATTAAGTTGACCAATTACAAAGCGGAGGACTTAAAATACGGCTCGACAGGACGTATTATGTTTTGCAAACGAGTTCAGTAGCTCTAGACTAAGTTCAGTTCCTATGGAAAATAATTTTTCACAGACCTAAAGATGTGCTAAAATTTTAATTTTACTTTAAAGTCTAGTGACGAAACAACAGTTCAACGAATCGGGGGTAGGGTGAGGCCGAGGGAGAGTAAGTTTATGACGTAAATCTATGAGGATAGGAAGCTACTAGAAAGAATGATCATAAATTGGCGTCACGTAAAGTTAGGAAAACGCACCAAGAAAAATATTGATAATAAAAGAATATAAATGTTTGGAGTAGTGAGAAAAAAAGAAGAACAATTCGAACTCGCTGTTCCAGGAAAAATGGAAAAAAAATAACTTTGTTTCTCAAAAAAAAAAAAGAAAAAGAAAAAGAAAAAAAATTAATTCACAAATCGTCCGAAATATATTCGGTATAAATTATTTATCTTATTCTGAAGTTCAATCTTGACTCTAATATTTTAGCAATTATAATCTATATAATTTTATTAAATTATTGATTTATTTTATTTGTCGCATCTCTTTGATCCAATTATCATTTGTGCATTTGTTCATTTATTTACTTATTTACTCGTATATTCATTTTATTATTTAGTTTGCCCGCTCGGCCCGATTCTTACATTCTTACTTGGATTCTAAATTACTCTCATTGCGCTAAATTTCTCTTTTTGAGTGGTTGAAGTGTGCCTACGACATTACGAATAGCAGAAGTGGCTATTGAACGTAATAAGACAGTCAAAAAATAAATGATCATCAACGATTGCCCAATGTCTGACAAATACGTGAGGAAGGAGCAGTATAGTTTAGTCTACAGCTAATTTTTCGAAATTTCGAGTGCTCTTTTTGTGGGAATTTTGAAGCGAGAGCGAAGCGCGTTCAAAAGTGCACCCACTTGGTACCAATCACTATAGTTTTACTTAGTCTGGGATCGTTTACAACAAAAACGTAAGATATCCCTAGGATGCTAGAAGGCAGTTAGAGTCTCTAATTTAAGCGAAAATGGATAAAGTTTCTAACACAAACGCTTGGAGACTACGGAGAAAAATTCAGGTCTAGTAAAATTTGCTTTGTGTAAACAGCTATTTCAAAAACAATTTGATAACGGTTTCGTTACATGTTGCGTGTTGCCTTCTAACCTTTAAATGTATTATATTCTTATGTAAATAGGAAAAAATATCCCGGAAGAACCGGCTTGTTACAGGCAAATTTTTGCAATGATTTCATATAGTTGTGACCTTTCGCATTGCCCATAGTGTAGTTCGAGCTGGGTATGTAGTGTGCCAAAAAAAAAAAAAAAAAAACATTTAACCTGCCTTTTTTGAAATAGCTGTAAATACGTGTTAATCAATTGGCTGATACGATAAAACCTTCAGAATTTACAGTTAGATCTGTTCACCATATCTAAGGTCAAAAATTATGAACGTATGGACGACACTTCAATTTATTTCCCTTCGCTCATATTATTATTATTATTATTATTATTATTATTATTGCTATTACTATTATGCAATATGCCACCGCCCTGACCTTGATTAGTCAAGAGGATATTTGAGGGTATCAATCGAATTAAAAACTAGCTCCAGATCATGATAAAACAATAACTATCAGCTTGGTCATCATAAATGACGTGTAAATGATGTGCATTGAATATTATTTTTTCCATGGCAACTTTGAGAAAATACATTTCCTAACGACAATTTATTGTCCAATGCGCTTGAGTAACTAGGGGAGGTAATTTTAACACTGTTTAAAAACAAGAACGATAGAGATAGATAGAGAAATTAGTAACCAAACAAGGTTAGTTGGTGTGAACTGAGTATAGGTGGGCGTACGGTGACGTTATTTGTTTTGATCAAGGACATGAAATTCTTGGAAATTCAAGCAATAAACAAACAAATGTCAAAAGTTGCAAGATCCTATCGCTTTGGAAGATATCTGAGAATTTGAGGACAAATGATGGTTTTCAAGTTAACGTTGTGAAATTTGACAGTAAATATATGTTGGTTGGCAAGATGTTCCCTACATTTACTGCAAAATTTACCAACTTTAATTTATTATATCTCCTGAAATAATCAAGCAACTGCTCTCAAATTGATAAATATTTATCAACAGTTATGACTTTATATTTCTTACCGTCGTTTGCATTACTACGTGGCCACCCCAGGCACATATCGAGTCGTGTAGTTTGCAATAGACAACTGTCAATCGTTCATGTTGACGCCATTTATACACGTTTGGATCAGTGAGTTGGCTTTTCTATCAAACTTTCTCAGTCAGATATCACGAAGGAAAGTTCCGAAAGCGATTGCAAAGAGTGTGAGTACATCCAAGTATAGAATGAGGTGTTTGACGGCAGTCTATTGCAAACTACACGACGCGATTTGTGCCTGGGGTGGCCGCGTAGAAATGCAAACAGCGTTAAGTCCAATCGTTTATGGCTCAAAAGTTGATTTTTGGAAATGTAAACAGTACGCCCACCTATTAGCTTATAGGTCAAGAGTTTTCCCTTTTACTCCTTCCCACTCAATAATCAAGTGTTTCCCCAGGGTTTTTCGCCCACTCACTAACTATCAAGGGTTTTCCCTAAGCTCTCTTCGCCTCCCTGATAATAAATGATTTTCCCTGAGTTTTCTTCCCAAATATAATAAAATGATATTTTCGGCTTGAGAGCGGTTTGTGTGTAATGTTTTCCCATTTCAGACCGCGTGTCATTCCCTTGAGAATAAGATTCTTTGTTTGAGTTGTATCCATATTCATGTGTCTTCTCATGTGCAACCGTTAAATAAAGAAGTGATGTGCTAGGGAATGACACATGGTCTTTAGAATAAGATTCTTTGTTTGAGTTGTATCCATATTCAAATGTCTTCTCATGCGCAACCGTTAAACAAAGAAATAATACTCTAGGGAATGACGTGATCTGAAATTGCAAAACAATTGAGATTTTTAACGTGACGTCACGCTGTAGAGAAATTTGTTTGATCTGAAAACAATACGCCCTAGAGGCGTTTACCGGGTTGCCTGTATGGTGCACATATGCCTAGTACACCTAAAGAAGTTTGCAATGTCAATTAGCCAAAAGATAATGGAATCTTTCACAGAAAAGAATGATTTCGTTTAACTCGTCTAAGACGATCTTCTCCCTTAAGGTGTTCTCTACATAACATTAAAATAATTGCAGGTGCTGCCATTTTTTAGGCTATATATAAAGAGTTTTGCGTTATGCATGTCGCACTACTTGTGAATTTGATCTTGCGCCATGACGCAGCAAGATCAAATACCCCAATGTTCTCAGTCAGATTAATTATAACAATTAATTTTCTTATCTTTTTACCATCCTTTGTTTTCATATTATTTACTGGGGTGTTTGTTTATTTTCCTTGTCAAAAAATGCAGAAATCCATGGCCACTAGTCCTTTGCGGGCATATGATATAGAGATCCAAGTGCACTAAATGTTCTTGTCAGTAAACTTTGCCAGGAAATAGGAAAGCATAACTCTACTTTTCGCGGATCGATATTGCTTATATGATTGATAACGTCTGATCGAATTTATACAGGCTCATAAGCAACCGACTAGGAATTGTTGAAGATTTAAAACAAAAAAAAAATGAAAAAAAAAAAAAAAAAAAAAAAAAAGAATTATGTGGATAAGATGTGATTCGAACCCACCAAAAGAAATTCCAAAAATACGATTCCACTTTGCCATACCCCCGAGACATCCGCAGAGCTGAGGCGGCGTATGGACTTCGGACCTGACGGCGATTAAATCCTTCTGCCCTTGGGTGCACGAATTACGCAAGAAAATGTTCTAGCCGAAGGCATCAGGGGAGAGACCAGCCGGCCCCCAGACCATATCGGCTAATCCCTTGCATCTCTGCCACGCACGGAATCGGTTGAAAAAATACTGTTAAAAAGTCTAGTCTATTCGGTGCATTGTTTTCACGGCTATTGTTATGCCGATTCACCTGGAACCGTGGTCCAGTGGATAAATTGTTGTCGTTCAAGATACTGAGTCAAGCTCGTCTGAGGAGGGTTAGCACTTGGATGGGTGACCTAAACATTAAAGTACTCACTCTTTTGCATTTTATTTCCGTTTTTCTTTTTTGATTTTTAAAATAATAGAATAGTAAAATTTTTCTATTTTTGCATAACCTATTCCTGCTACTCTAATCAGTCAAATTGAAATATAGTAGAGGAAAAATGAAACTGCCGGCCAATTCAGTATTTTCACATAGGAGTGTCTAAATGACCGGCAGCCGGTCAAGAAATTCAAAACACTTTAAGTGGTCGGCAGTTCCATTTATTTTTAAGAATCTAGCTCAATCCATGCGATAGCACAAACCAAAGTTAAAACTCGAACAAACCTTTTTATACTTTCTATAATCGTTTATAGCGCTAGCATTATTAAGTCTCAAGTAAAAAACCGGCAATTAAAAATGACGTAAAACAAGGTGAAGGCGATCTAGCACCGGGAATTGAAGGTCGCCAGACTTTATTAATTAAACATGGCATTTCACTCACGGGAAATTTTTTTTATTTTCCTTGTTTAAGTTAGAGCTATTAATCTTATACCCCATTCACAGGTTTGAAAAACTATCTACGAACACTGCACAATATTTGGTGAAATAATGCATGTAAGCTATCCTTTGTCTTGCTCTGATAATATTTTACAAAGTTTCATTATATTTGTAGGTTTCCAGTTTCTCAATTTTTTTCCTAATGAAAACACAGTTTAACTAAACACGTTTAGGTGTGAATGGGGTATTAAACTCTTTCAGCATWGAATACTGCTTTGATAAGCTATATTAAAAAATGGAGTAGAAAGATGAAAGAAAGATCTTTTCACGGCATCTTGAACTTTCTTGGTCAGTTTTATTCCTAGTCCTGTCCTGTTTTATTCCTAAGGCGTCAGCAACTAACGAAAAAGAAAATATGCGCAACTGTCACTTGAATATAAATCAGACTTTACAAGTACGGGATCTCTGTATCATGTCCACAAGGGACTCTTGGGTGGTACCGCGAAGACCCCTGGGTACTATTGCGCAATATTGGCATTTTTCTTACGCAGGACAATACGGAGACACGCAACTCATATTTAGACTGGGCTGCCATAGGTAACCCAGTAAAAAGTTGTCATACCGATATAAGTTAGACTGCGAAGATTCGTGAAGATTGCACGTAAACATGAAATTTAAAAAAAGAAATGTGCTAACATACATTCCTTTGTAAAAGTTGTAACGTTCAGAAACCCAGTCTCTCGACAATCTTCACTAAACTCACTCACAATCTTCACGCTCTCCAATGTTTTTCATAGAAGTTGGTGCTAAATACCATGCGAATTATCTCCAAAACGAGTTCAGACACCAATTTTTCGACTCTTTACAATACGTATGTATTGTTAATCGATGAAAGTATGAAAAAATTTGAACGTTGAAGTATTTTACCCGCAAACGTACTCAAACAACCAATGTTTTGATCCCTACACTTCCCTTCCAATTATCCCAGGGTTTTCTCTGATACTCATCCCTCAAAAATAATACAGAGAATAAAGAAAATTCTGATCTTTTATTCTAGTGTTTCCAGCTACTTACAAATATAGGGACTCTAAAATCTATACAAGCCCAAAGTAGTAAAATCAGTAGATGGGGAAAAGAGAAAATTCTGGTCTTTACAAACAAATGAATATCAATCTAGGACTATCTACATTTGATACTGTTGAAAAGTGATTTGCCTTTAACTGTAGATGTATTTAACACATATATAGCCTCCCATTAAAACGTCATTAATGGTCCGTCCCTTATGAAGTGAGCATTCTTGTATCTGGAACGTAGCTGTCAATCTTAACAATAAATAAAAATCTTAGAGCGTTTCCTAGGTATGTATCATTATAAGCCAACATGTATGATAACTATCGGTAATATTCTACAATCTTTTGTTCAAGTACTGTAAAATCTTTCGTTCATTGCCAACTAAACAGGATAAGGAATTTTGCAGACTACAAGAGTGATATAGTAAATGTGTAATGTGTGTCGTAGTTAAATGTAAGATATTTAGCGTCCATAAGGATGGAAAACCCAACGAGAGTACTTGCAGACTACACGAGTGATAAAGTAAATGTATGGTAGTTAAATATAAGATATTTAGCGTCCATAAGGATGGAATCCCCTTGCGGCTCCTCCACCTCTTCCAAAGGATTCTCCCGCGCTGCCTCCTGCACCATACCCAGCGGGACCACCTGCACTGGCATACGAATCCCCAGCAGGGTATGCTGAGTATGCAGCTTCACTGCCAAATGACCCTCTAGCAGGTCCGTACTGCGAATCCTGTTGTTGGTAATTGCCGAGTCCTGCACACACACAAAAAGAACACCAACAAATCAGATAAGAGTTAAGATGCGATTACACAAAGCAATTTTATTTGAAACTTGTAACCTCCAGCACAAATTGAAACATTTTGCAAGACAAGTTGCAGCACTCATTGCGAAAGGTATAATTCGTTTCTACTTTTGGCAACGATTAAGTCTTCATTGCACCGTGTAAACACTCTTACACCTTGTGTCACGATTCTTAATTCTGAACTCACAGAAATCGTGTTGCATAAAATATCAACAGGCTGATGAAGCATTCCTCAAAACCTCCCCGTAATGCAACGCATAGTCTACAACTCCAAAAAGGCTAATAGAGGTTATGTACCATTATGTGACGGCAGCACACAATCGTTAAACATAAAAATTCAATTTCCAAGAACAGAGGGATCACATCGTTCTACCATCTAACCACAGGCAGCCAAAGCTGTATTATGGGTGTGGGCAAGTGATGGCAGGTCTTAAAATAACGGCCAGACATCGGCCAGAACTGTAACTTGTCTAGTCAAATCTTTGCCTTGCCAGTCATTTTGACCAGTGACATTTAGCAAGAGATGAGAAATGACTAGGCTAAAACTAATTAGGCCTGTGATCATGACCCGCAACTTATTGGCCAGTTATTTTAAGCCCTGTGAGGATGTAAAACCTCAATAAACAACAACCAAGTAAGAGATACTGTAGAAAATACATACCATAAGCACTGTAGGCAGAGTAGTCACCTCCTGCGGGCGCCTCCCCATGAGCAGGTACTCCAGCACCAGGTCCTGAAATAGAACAAGATGTTACAGGCATCCTTTGGTCATAAAAAAACTGAGATTGAGAAATCGGAGAAAGACACATGACAGACCTAAGTTACTGTTTTCCCATTTCATTTCCTAGAGTATCATTTCTTTGTTTAATGTTAACACATAAAAAACATGAAAATGGATACTACTCAAATGACATAAGGTATAAAAATTAAAAATTAAAAAAAATAATAAATCACTTTGTTTAAGTGTCTAGTCGTTGTAGCGCTTTTGCACTAATTGGGGGCACTTTTCGCTCACACGCCTTACCACTACATTTAATATTCTATGCACACAACGCTCAACTCACATGTTGATTTTTATGGAGGGAGGAAACCGGAGAACCCGGAGAAAMCCCTTGTAGCATAGGAGAGAAAAACACATCAAACAAACTCAATTCACATGTGACGACCGCAGGGCTGGAACCAGCGACCCGACCCGTTGCACTCACAGTGGTGAAAGACGACACGTTAACTGCGAACGCCACCCATGCCACCCAAAAAATGGGAAAAAATGAAATGGGAAAATATTCTGCCTAAATTGATTAGGTCTATTGCTAAGGTCGTATAAATTCGTATAAAGTGAATGTATTAACCACAGCTACACAACATGAATCGATCATTACCTGGTGTTGCTCCATACGCTGGTGCAGCAGGTTCTCTACCAGCACCCACGCCATAACCAGGCATCTGAGGGGCAGCTCCATAAGCAGCAGGGGTATAGCCTGCTCCACTTGCAGGGGCTCCACCCATCGGCATACCAGCTGCACCATACCCTTGAGGTGTCTGCGGAGCTAAAATTAGCAGATATGAGTATTACTAGGGTGCTTTGTCCATACATGGTGAATTTGAACCCTTAAAAAAAAATCGCAAAAATTAAGTGGTCACCCATAATGCACATTTAAATAAATATTGAATTTGATGAGCTTCGACATCTGAGACAATCTCTTATTCCCCATCACTGGTACTGCTAGTACTTTCTTTGGCAGTTGCTGACTGCACCAGAACATGTCTGATTAACGCGAACTATTTTTCATCATTGTTACTGATAATTAATAAAGTCACTGTTCAAGAAAGCTGAGTGTTTGAATTAAAACAGGTAATGAGTAACTCTTTCTGTGAAATGGCGAAATTAAAGTGACTTAGAATGTTTTTTTGTTTTTTTTGCAAAATTTAAGTGCTGTGAAATGTGTGACCTCCAAAATTGCAAAATTAACGGTATTTTAATCATCATGATTGGAATGTGATGTTTCACTTTACAGTGAAACCACTTAGTCACTTGCTTGTTCCACTTGAGTTTTGAACACTTTAAGGCATCAAATGGAAATCTAAGAGGGATTTGTTAAGTAACTTACCACCATAGCCATAGTTAGCACCAGCTCCTACAGCGCCATATGCCCCATAACCAGCATTGGCGTTATATCCACCACGTCCTACACCTGCTTGTTGAGGATAAGCTAGAAAGATGATAATAATGACAGCTATGGAGAAGGTATACAGTGCTTTTTGCAGAGGGGAATGTTTATAAAACCCCTCAAAGCAATGGAGAGAACAACATTCATATTCTGTTCATGGTTCCTCTGCCATATTGAATAAACTATGAAAATAGGTCTTTTGCAACAAACAGTCACGTGCTGATATATGACTTTGTTAACAAATTGCTTTGTATATTGAAATTGAAAGTATCATATAAGGCCTTTTGCATGAGAAAAATAATTGGGGTCGGTAGGTTGGACATTTTTTTTACTGATACGACAAGGTATTTTTTCGTTTTCAGTGGAAATGAGCTTACTGGGAACCCTGTGGTGCATTTGGGAATGAAAAAATATTAGTGTCGCCAAAAATCGGAAAGCAAATTATGGTCGGTCACGCAACAGGAAACACACTTATTTTTTTGTATTTTTGAAAAGGATTTGGATATGACATTAGTAATCCAGCAAATAATCTTTATATAAAGGAAGTCCAGCTTTTTTTGCCATCCAGTAACAATCACGTGTCAGTCTATTTAAGGGAAGCACCGGTGGTGCTTTCTATTTAAATTGGAGATCGAAATTTTTTAGAGCCAAAATATGTTTTTCGTGATGTCACACTTGATTACTCTATAATGATGAGGAGAGGGAGTGAACCCTTTTGCACACTTGCAATACATACCTGATTGCATTCCATATTGTTGGCCAAACTGTCCACGCCCCATAGCACCCGGCATTCCATGTACAGGGGTAGCAAGTGGATTGGCCTGTCCACCAAAGGGCATCTTTGGTTGTCCCATTCTGTGCTCAGCTATTTTAACTTCGACCTGTATCCAAAAAACAAAAAGACAGCATAAGTATACTATTAGAATACCCGAGAACTGAAGTATCAATAACCAAGCAGCTCACATTACACTACTAACACCGGAAAACTACAACTAACATATACACATCCCCAAACTAAGGTAATTGGTATGATCTAGGATAATTTTAGTCAAGTACCCTTGGATTTTCAAGCCCTTAATATAAGAGTCATGAGAATGCAAGGATATATTAATCAAAGTATTAAGCTAAATACTCTAATTTGTAATTGAATTTGTAAGTTAATTAAGCCTTAATTAAGCTAAAAATATCTAGGTTTTCAATTTAATAAGGTTTTCTCATAGTAAGTTAAAATATGCTATCTGGAATAGATTTGCTTTGGAACTAAATTGAATGTATTAATAATTTCATTGATCCCTTTTACTGCAAAATTCAACAGTACAATACAGAGCACTACATCAACTGTACAAAACACAGAGTACTACATCAACACAACACACAGCACTACATCAACGGTTTCACATCAACAGTACAACACAGCACAACATCAACAGTACAACACAGCAAAACATCAACAGTACAACACACAGCACTACATCAACAGCACAACACAGCACTACATCAACAGTACAACACACAACACTACATCAACAGTACTTCACACAGCACTACATCAACAGTACTTCACACAGCACTACATCAACAGTACTTCACACAGCACTATATCAACAACCACTACAAGCCAACTCTAGACAAAAGCGAAAGCAGAAACTTCAAGTTAACCTATAAGTGTTAGGTTGGTGGCCATAAATTATTCATCTCTTTAGAATTTCTTAATCAAAGTAGTGTGAATTCGGAAGTAAACAATAGCTAGCCTTGAAGTTTCAGTAAGCCATCAGTGAAGCATGAAGAAAAACTCTGATTAAAGAATGTAATTATGTTCATTTAAAGGATAGAATAACTTTCAGATATATGATCTAAGCTCTATCTTTAAACAGAGTTTTTCCATACGTAACAAAACACACATTCAAAACAGACTCAAACGACAATGAAAGACAACAAAGACAAATACAACAATGATTTTTCGTAGTCCTGTATTGTTGTTTTGAACTAGCTGGTATCAAAAGAATTAAATCCTTGAAAAGTTAAAATCACATTACAAACCAAAGATTTTTTTAATACAAATTGTTTTGAAACGTTAAAAGAAAAATACAAAAGAAATGACACAAATTCCATTGAGAAAAAGTGATTTTTTTCATATATCCCATTTATCCTGAGAACAAAGATAATCTTAAGGTATCTATTGCAGCTAGTTCAATAACAGCAAATCCAATCAAGAACTACAACAACATTATTATGGAGCTCTAACTACACCATTTTTCCATTGATCTGATGATAGTGCATATCAACTGCCTTGTTAACTGCTTCCTTTGTATCAAATGTTACAAACCCAAATCCTACCATAATATAATAGAATAGTAAAGACGTTAATTATAAGGTGTAATCCCTCGTAGGTTGACAATACTTTTTATAATCCTTGTAGATACCCAGATAATTGTCAGCCAGTAAATAATTAAGTAGGCAATATTTACATTGTGGAAAGGTTAGGAATTACTTGGAAAACAACAACAAAGTACGTATTGCCAAATTAAAAGAGAAATACGATAACAGCAACAATAACAACAGGAGAAACAGAAGCAGAAGCAACAATAACAGCAGCAACTACGACAAAAGCCTCTACCTCGACAAAAGCCTCTACCTCGACAAAAGAAACAAGCAACAACACAAAAGAAAAGAGCCAAGTCCTATTTTAAGACTAGAAACACAATTTTAGATACAAGACTACAGCATAGAATTTATTAAATTGTACAAAATTTAGGTGCTTATTGATAAAAATAAACTTGCTGGAGTGTTAATGTTATTAGGTTTTTAACTGTAAACCTTAAAATGGTTGTGTATACAGTCCATTCAAAAAATGTTGTCATCAAGCAGCTCAAGCCTACAGGACTTGACTGAAAGTGACTATGGGTAGAAACCACTTAAGTGCAGGGTTAGACCTAGGGGAGGGGTGCAGGGGGAGTGAACCCCCCCCCCCCCTTCCCTAGATGCCCTGATATCTACTGGTGTTTGAGTTTGTAAGCAAAGGGTGCACCCTATCCTAAAATAAAAATCCTGGATGGTACACCCCTCCCCCTAGAAAAAATCTTGTAGCTGCCCCAGAAGTGGTTCATCATTTGCACACTTACAATAAGAATATCTCCCTCAACAACTGCTGCTCATAAAATAATGGTCTGTACTGTGAGGCATATCCATTCAGGGAATTATCATAGTTTCACCTACTCATAGTTTTTCCTACTGAAGTTTGTTAGACAAACTTCAGTAAGCAAAACTATGGGTAGATGAAACCATTGGATTTGCGCAACTGCTTCTGTGATTTCTACCTATACTCAGTTTTGGCCCAGTCGCATAGGCTTGAGCCAGTCTATGTCAACATTTTTTTGAATTGACTGTCTTAAATAAAAGTTAACTATGAAAAACTAATGGATTTCTTTTTCAGTTAAGAGTTAAGCATTAAGGTATTTGATTTTGAGTTGCCTCGTGCAATATAAATGGCAAAAAAATGTGAAGTTCATAGTGAAATAAGTTTAGTATACTTCTAAGAGTTAGTGTAGAAAACCACCAATATACAAGACAAAAGCAAATACAACACAACAATACAAAGATAGACAACAAGGACTGAAGCATTTTAGAAACAAGAGCTATAGTAGATTAAGGCTAAGGATTTAAAGGTGTAGTAGGGCTGTATCTAAAATAATAAATAAAACCACACTAGTTAGTACTAAATAGAAATAAATTATAAAAACATTCATAATAATACATGATGAAGATTCAATAGGCCCTTTGCAGCTAGTGGTCACGTGCTTGGATACCGCTTAGCAACACAAAACTGGAGAGCAAGCCTTCCAGTAAACAAAAGTTGTAATAGGTCAAGCACGCGTGGTTTTATACGATAGTTTCATCGTTCAAAACGCTTAATCCTTTTGCCCTATCTACAA